CTGAGCCTGTTTGGATGTCATCTGGGCTCTTATGTAAGAGGCATGGGAGGGGAACGGCTTTGTGCTCGGTTGCCATACGCTTGACCAGCCGCTGTAGTCTCGCTGTCCCTCGTGTGTTGGAGTGTTTATCGCTATTAGCTGTCTACTCAGACAGAGAGGTAGACATTAAGTGACTGATGGTTGCACACGGGGATTCCAGTGCCCCTTTGCACAGGTAAGCTCGAGTCTGTACATTGAGATATTTCAGAGGCTGTGGTGGCATTCACCAGGTGGTGAAAACATTGACAGCTCTTGAAGTGTTTCATCGTTGCCATTGGTGATGTAGCTAGGAGTTGCTGACTGATTGGGATGTACAACTTCACCGTTGCATCCCAAATTGCGGCTGAGGGTGTTTGATCAGAGCTGAATGAAGCTAACTGGCTGTATTAAATCATCCTTGGAAGAGATTTGAAGTTGTATTTGGGTGCAGTGTGAGGGTAGTATTTCTATTTTAAAAAAAAAAAAAAAAAAACCCCGGCTTGCTTTAAAAGTAATTGTATTCGCAGCACTTAATCACATAATATATGGCTCTGCAATCTTTACATCATATGCACGTTTTTCTACTTAATTACAATTTCAAATATTCTACTTTTTTTTTTTTTACCATGCCTTTGTTTTTTTATATATATACAGTGGGGAAAAAAAGTATTTAGTCAGCCGCCAATTTTGCAAGTTCTCCCACTTAAAAAGATGAGAGAGGCCTGTAATTTTCATCCTAGGTATACCTCAACTATGAGAGACTAAATGAGAAAAACAAATCCAGAAAATCCCATTGTCTGATTTTTAAAGAATTTATTTGCAAATTATGATGGAAAATAAGTATTTGGTCAATAACAAAAGTTCATCTCAATACTTTGTTATATACCCTTTGTTGGCAATGACAGAGGTCAAACGTTTTCTGTAAGTCTTCACAAGGTTTTCACACACTGTTGCTGGTATTTTGGCCCATTCCTCCATGCAGATCTCCTCTAGAGCAGTGATGTTTTGGGGCTGTCGCTGGGCAACACAGACTTTCAACTCCCTCCAAAGATTTTCTATGGGGTTGAGATCTGGAGACTGGCTAGGCCACTCCAGGACCTTGAAATGCTTCTTACGAAGCCACTCCTTCGTTGCCCGGGCGGTGGGTTTGGGATCATTGTCATGCTGAAAGCCCCATCACACGGATCAGTCGTCCTGGTCCCTTTGCAGAAAAACAGCCCCAAAGCATGATGTTTCCACCCCCATGTTTCACAGTAGGTTTGGTGTTCTTCGGCTGCAACTCAGCATTCTTTCTCCTCCAAATAAGTCTAGTTGAGTTTTTACCAAAAAGTTATATTTTGGTTTCATCTGACCATATGACATTCTCCCAATCCTCTTCTGGATCATCTAAATGCTCTCTACCAAACTTCAGACAGGCCTGGACATGTACTGGCTTAAGCAGGGGGACACGTCTAGCACTGAAGGATTTCAGTCCCTGGCGGCGTAGTGTGTTACTGATGGTAGCCTTTGTTACTTTGGTCCCAGCTCTCTGCAGGTCATTGACTAGGTCCCCCCGTGTGGTTCTGGGATTTTTGCTCACCGTTCTTGTGATCATTTTGACCCCACGGGGTGAGATCTTGCGTGGAGCCCCAGATCGAGGGAGATTATCAGTGGTCTTGTATGTCTTCCATCTTCTAATAATTGCTCCCACAGTTGATTTCTTCACACCAAGCTGCTTACCTATTGCAGATTCAGTCTTCCCAGCCTGGTGCAGGTCTACAATTTTGTTTCTGGTGTCCTTTGACAGCTCTTTGGTCTTGGCCATAGTGGAGTTTGGAGTGTGACTGTTTGAGGTTGTGGACAGGTGTCTTTTTATACTGATAACGAGTTCAAACAGGTGCCATTAATACAGTTAACAAGTGGAGGACAGAGGAGGCTCTTAAAGAAGAAGTTACAGGTCTGTGAGAGCCAGAAATCTTGTTTGTTTGTAGGTCACCAAATACTTATTTTACTGAGGAATTTACCAATTAATTCATTAAAAATCCTACAATGTGATTTCCTGGATTCTTTCCCCCCATTCTGTCTCTCATAGTTGAAGTGTACCTAGGATGAAAATTACAGGCCTCTCTCATCTTTTTACGTG